AAGCATAAGAGAAATATACGCGTCATAACGTTTAACAAACATTTTTCAATAAAATGAGTGGACGTAACAGAGGGGACCAAAACCTGGGGACACAAATTTTCTTCATAAAAATTATACAAAAAAATTATTTTTCATCATTCTTTTCTTTATATGGTATTAATATACACAAACTGAATAACAAAAATTGTAAATATTATTTTTTTTCAATTTTATTTCAACTGAAAATAACTATTAAATTTTTATAAATTGGCTCGGGACACAGGTTTTTGCTAAACCTTTGACATTGAAAATATTTTTTTAAGTTATTTTCAGATAATTAATTATTTTTTTTTTATAATATAGTTACGTAGAATCGATAATAATTTATAAAAATGCAGATATTTTTCTATTTTCTTTTTGAAGAAACAAAATATAAAATAGTAAAGTCTGGGGACACCAATTGGTCATGTTTTTTTAAGAACGACCCATATACTGTGCAAGATGTGTGTGTACAACGTGCTGCTACAGCCTTCTTTGATCTTTCCTCAAGATTCCAACTCCATTTAGCTTGGAGGCAAGGTAGTTCGCTTCGGTTGAAAGAAGTCCCATACAGACTCGGTAAAGAGAATTCAGGGATTTTTATTTTCCTTGTGGACTAACTCGAAACATTAGGAAGTGTCGACTCCGTCAGCTCATTAATTGTTTCACAAGGATTTAGAAGGACTGCTTTATGATGGCCCTCCTTACCTGCTCTCTGTTTATTATGTCCATAAATATGGATGTTTACGTATCATCAATAAGATCTGTGTGGCATGAAATGTGTGTTTGCACCTAGATTCCTAATGGTTCTTCGCTAGTTTTAATTCATGAGCCACTCGGTTTGTTGATACGTTCTATTGCTGAATCCATTCAGAACCTTCATTCCTCAATTTTTCTTAAAGATCTCACAGAATTTCTTTGGTTTATAGTCGCTGAAACTTATGCTGGATTTAAATGAGGCGATTTGCTATCTCTTTCTCATGTAAATGGTGATTCAAAATTCGCTTGCCTTAAAGTAGACAGCAAGTCAACTTTTGCATGCGATTATCGCCTGTCAAAAATTCGCCTCATGTAAAGGTAGCTTAACGCTATAGCACTCACAATCCCCCCACCTCCCCTTTGGTATGTTAATGCGACCTAGCAACAGGTAGGTTCGACCAGTTACATTTAGTCTTAGTTCCGATCTCTACGTCGGCTTTACTTCACTCTATTTCATATTAGGGCTATTCGCGATTCGGTGCATAAGAGCTGACAAATTTATGCAATTGCAGAAATATGCCATGGATTGTGAGCGACCTTTATTAAACTGTCATGGTAAAGCTCATGAACGAAAGACACAAGATCACGCCTTAAGGAAAGAAAGAAAAAAGTTATTTTCTAGCTGTTGAAATCTCGACGCCATCTTTGTTGTAAGAAGTAAACAACGAAGAGAACAAAAAAAAACGCGTAATTGTTGAACGCATGAATAATCATTTTTATTATGCAAATTCTCCTATAAATCATGTCGTTGTGTTAAATTATTCTTTACCTTATGTGTGCACACGTTGTCACAAGCGAAAATTAAGAAAATTGCAGTAAAAAGCCACCACCAAATTGTAAACAACGAACAAATGTAAACAAACGGCTTATGTCAAAATCGCCCTACTTTTTTCATAAGTGCGATTATAACGGGCCACTCTTCTGCTGTCGTGATCTTGTCTTTTTGGTTCATGGGTAAAGCTTTTGCAAAACAATTTTTGTGCATCAGCTTTGGTTTTGTTTATGAATGCAATGCATAGCATTTTTATGCTATGGATTTTAGGTATTGCAAATTTGTCAAGCCATGACAAATGCAAATGCGTGTATTTTGTTTGTGTATTGCAAATAATTTGCAATACAAATTTGCAATGCAATGATGCTAGGCCATTTGCACCGGATCGCGAATAGCCCTATTATTTACTTTATAATCTTCTTTTCGCATTTTAGCTTTCGAGCTGGTGCTGTCATTTCATCACACAAATAATAAACATACTAACATTACAAATACACATATACACATGTACATACAGAACATAGGGCAGTGGCGGACCCTCAACCCCTCATATCGAAGAATAATAGTTCAGTAATATGGGTTTAGAAAAAGGGTTGTTTAGAAAAAATATACACTCAAGTGTTAAAACACGAAATTTTCAAATACAATCAATTTTTCGCTTAACATATTTATAAAATATGTTGATAACTTTAAACAATTTCAAATTTTCTTTTTACTTATATGTAAATCAATGAAACGAGGATTTTTCATATTTTCCTTGGTTTTTTGAAAAATTCTTCTAGAACTTCGTGAAAAACTTCATTGCTATTGAAACGGGCAAAATATGGAAATATGTAAATTAAAAAAAAAAAATTGACTTAAGAAAACGGCCCTTAATCTAATAAATATCGTAAATTAAAAATTGGGTGGAAACCCTATTTAGAAATACGCCAGGATGGTGAGTACATATTTTTAATGTATATGTGTGTATACATTTATATGCTCGAATAAGTTAATAAGCTAAAAGTTTGTATTACAAAAAAAGTGGCAACCCTCATGGAAAATATTTCTGGATTCAAATTCTCAAAAAGACCTTTTATTTGATATCCATATTAAATTGTTTTAGTTGAATTTTGTGAAACCAAAAATAAGTGGCAACCTTGCACTAATATCCTAAGGGATAACGCATACTATATAGGCAAATAATTTTTAAGAGCTTTTTTTGTAGAACCTATAAATAGTAGTATTATATCTTAATTTTCTAAACAATATATTCAATAAATATACGATGGAAAATAGGTGGCAACCCTAATAAAAATTTAAAAATGAATTGAAGTTTTTTGTAAATATTTTCCATTTGATTCCCAAATTATGATGATTTATTTTATTTGTAACCAATTGAAAATAGGTGGCAACCCCATACGAATATTTTTTTGGAGATAACACCAATACAGACAACTCTAAAATGAAAAACGTAAAACCAACGTACAGTTCCATAAGTAACGTAACTCTTCTTCTTACCGCTTTGTTCTGACAGGCTGTAGGTGTGTTTTTGGTACAGTGTGTTAGTGTGTTTTGAATAAATTGTAATAGAAATGGAAGAAATTGTAAAAGGTAACATCAAATGCTAAAAAACAGATGATCTCAGCTGTAAGCATTTTTTGGCGCTCAGCTGATAGTGTTTTTAGTTAGAAAACTATACGATACGAAAAACCCCCGCAAAAAAAAAATCGGGATCCGCCGCTGAATTCTATCGGAATTTATTGGCATGCTTTATTGCATTTACCTACAGCTATGTAAATGTACTTATATGTATGTGTACATATGTTACGTTATTTAAAGCAGCAAAGAATGCAAAATACCGTTGTTGACCATGGCTACATAATTGGCCTAACAGAAAATTATAAATAATTAGAAGCAAAAATAATGGCAAGGAAAACAGAACATAAAAACGAAGGACTACAATAAAAGTGCAAAGCGTGAAACGAAATGGGGTTAACACAAAGTGCCAGACATATACATATACCTATGTATGAATGTGTGTGGACTAAAAAACAAAATGTGTTGACATAACCGTTATCTGACAGTGTGCATGCATTAGAATGGAAGATACGAATA